TTAGAATCATTAATTTCCAGTTTCGCACAATTATTTAAAGCTACTCTCTTGTTACCTGTGCATTTCAACAGGACAGGCAGCACACAATGTACTCGATAGTGAAGATTTTGAGGCTGTTGCTAAAATAATATTCTACTTTATTGTCACAGCAAGATTAAGCCAACTCTAAACAGAAAAGTGTTATCCTTGTGCTTTTTAAGGGGAATACAACTAACAACTGTAGAGTGGTTCTTAATGATTACTTTGTGTCTTACCAATAAAATAGGGCTGTAACTTCACCAGTCGGCTAATCCACTGATGGATTTATAACGCAGTGGCATCACTGGGAGGCGGTGGATATTTAGAAGGTGGGGCCTGGTTGCAGAGAATGGGTCATAGGGACATGCCCTCAGGAAATGCAGCTTGTCCCTCAGCCTTTTTCTAGGGCTCTTTGCTGCTCTCTCAGCTTCCTGGCTCCCAAGAGGGGAGCACCTTCCCTCTGCCATGTCCTTCCACCATGATGTACTGGTTTTGCCACAAACCTCAAAGCAATGGAGACAGTTAACCATGAACTGAAACTTCTAAATCCATGAGTCAAATAAACCTTTCCTCCTTTAAGTGGATCTTGTTAGGAATTTTGCTACAGCACCAAGAACTGACTGACATACCACCCATGCCAGGGTAAGTGGCACAGAGGAGGTCCAGGGCAGAGCGGCAGAGGGAGTGTGGACAGGAGGCTACGCACCCAAAGCAGCAGCCTGGTACAGAGTTTTGGAGTCCAGAAAGGTAAGGAGGTTGTCCCCAAGGAGGAATAGGCCAGAGTGGACTCTCAGAGCCCCGAGAAGGAAAAGGAGGGCAAACTGAGGGTGCGGAGCTCTTAGGAAGGCCCTGGAGCCTGAGGCAGTGCCGTCCGAGAGGAAGGCACCTGCCAACGCACATCCTGTGCCCCTGAGGACGCAATAACAGAAAAGATGCTTTAATAAAAATGCATAACATGAATAATCGACTGAAGAAGAAACATAAAACAAGCTGGAATGGAGGCCAGTCTACAGTAAAACTTGCCTAATCCTCATGCCAAGGTCAGGAGAAGGAAAGGCCGAGGAACTGTTCCAGACTGCAGACGACCAAGGCGTCATGACAGCTTCATCTGCTGAAACACTGAGACAGCTGAAGAAACCTGACCTGCGTCTGAGAAGGCCAGTTTACACCAGCACTACACAGGTATGAAAGGCACCACAGTGGCAAATTATTCTCAGATTTTTTAATGGAAAAATTAGTTGTACCATACTTGTAAATTTTCTGAAGTCTGAGGCTGTTAATTTTTTTTTAATGTGCTGGATAAAACACAATTGTCTGTTTAAAACAAACACAATACATTATGCAGTAGAATTTATAAACACACAGAAACAAAGTATATGTCAATAATATAAAAAACAAAGACGGGGAGAATAGGATCATACTGTTTTGACATTCTTATATGTGAAGTAACATATTACTTTAAGGTAACCCATGATATTTTAAAAATGTATAGTGTAAACATTGGAACAGTTATTGATAAAATAAAGAAATAGCCAAACTTTTATGTCAAAAAGCATGAATTTTCAGAGAAAAAAACTGCACAATTGTAAGAAAGAGTGTGATATAGCTCAGAAAAACAACTAACAACTAAAAAGAGAAATAATTAGGCAAAAGCAAGGACTTTATTACCTAAAATTTTGAATTTTATGTTATCAAAAGACTCCACAGACAAAAAAAAAGCCGCAAGTCTGGGTAAAAGAACCTCCAGATATATTCCAGACAAAGGACTAATACTGCCTTTTCCTGTATACAGAGAGCTATTACAGACCAGTATAAAAATTGTAGAAATTAAAATTGGAAAAAAGTCAAAATCAGAACAGGTAATTTGTAAGTAAGTAGGAAATAATGAGCAAAACCTACTTATCCTAACGCCAGCGAACACATATACGTGAAGATTCATCACAGGATGAACTAGGAGATCCACAGTGACTGACAGTTTGTCTCGACAAACTGCGGTGCTGAGTGTCTCCAACCCTGGGACCAGGAAAGGTAAAGAGTGACCCCGGAGGATACAGGGAAAGATAACCCAGCAGGATTAAAACCCAGCGTCTAGAGGGTGGGATGGGAAACCGGTCTACTCCTAGATCATGGCAGCCCACTCCCCACCCCGGCCCAGCGCAGGCACCATCTGGGAAAAGGCTCAGATCAGGGAGGGAGCGAGCCAGCCCTTCAGTGACCGTACGGCAGAGGGACGCACAATCACACTATCCTCCCCACTGGTGGCGGAGAGGCTCCAGATGCTGGAAACAGAAATCTCAGAATGTAATTGCCACGCGCCCATGCACCCTGCTCCAGGGCCAGGGCCAGGGCCAGCGGGTGGTGGGACACCAGGGAGGAAAAAGGTTTCTCCAGCGCATCCGGTCATCATCATCATCATCATCATCACCTCCACCACCAGCCTCTTCTGCCCACACACAGCAGGAGGGCTGTGCACCGAACACTCAGCACCGCACCCAGGACTATGGGCAGGCTCCGTGTGAGCAGGAACAACTGGGCGCTGAGAGCAGGAGAAGGAAGGGAAAACTGGTTCTGCTGACACAGACATCTGTGGTCAGAGAGGCACTGCACAGCGCCGGGAGCGGTGGCCTTTCCACCTCTGAGAGGCAAGGAGAGCCTGCAGGAGGAGGGCGTGGAGATGCCTGCAGGCTTGAACCACTCCCGGCTGATAGCTGATTGGCCCTGTGGCATACTTCTAGCCACTTTCTTGCTCAAATAAAGTGAAGCTCAGAAAGGTTAAATAGTGTGTCCAGGGCACACAGCACTGACATGACAGAACCTGATCCAAATCACTCTCTCTTCCCAAGGACCATACAATGCTGAGCTCCTGGTTTGTGCCTTACCTTTGGTTCTATGATTGAAACTATGGATGGGAACATTTTTATTGGGCTCTGTGTGACTTTATAATAATAAAACAATGTGACTGCCCTGTGAGGTTTATTGTTGCAGGATTAACTTTTTCCTAAGCTATATTTTATAAAATCATGTAAACATTTTTAAGATGAGGTTTATAATAATTTCATCAGTTTTAGTTCTTTAAAACAAAATAAGATCAAGATGGGGCACTCCCTGAGCTTGAAACCAGGGGTGGGTTGGAAGGGAGCAGCTGTCCTCCAGGCAGGCTTCACGCGGGAACCACATGGCTGCTCAGAAGCAGCCTGGATGCCCTCATAGAGCGCGCTGGGTTCATGCCCAAGCGACTTTGCCATGGTTTTGATTTTTATTTTGATTGTTACCTTGGTAACTGTAGTTATTGTGACTTAGCTACATTGTTGGATTTGGGTCGTGCTGGTTGGTTTTCTTTTTTTGTTTTCCCTATTCTGTTTTCACTCTCTTCTTTTTTGGGGGAAGGGGACAGATTTTTGCTTATAGGTATTGCTGATTATTATGTTTTAGTTTCAAGGGTTCCTCTTTGACCTGCTCCTCTTCTAGTGTTTCTTCCCTCCTGTCTTTTGACTCTCTCCCCACGTTACTTTTGTGCTTCTCTACTCATTATACTGCCTCCTTGTCTTCCTCTACCTACTCTCCATCTGTCTAACAACACAAATATAACAGGTCTGTAATGAATACTGACAAAAGGGTGAAATTATTAAAATAAGCTTTAATGTTTACACCTGATGTATATTTACTATTGTTAAAACCAGACGTGTGGATCAGTGGAAAGAGGAGAGGGAAATAATTTCAGGCACATATAGCTACTTGATCTTTGACAAAGGTGCCAAAACAATCACTGGGGGACGCCTCTTTAATACAGGGTGCTGGGAAACTGGCTATTTGCATGCAGGAGATTGAATCTAGACCCATATCTCTTACCATGTACCAAACTAAAATCATAATAGATCAAGATCTACACGTTAAAACAGAAACATTCTCCTGGGAGACAAAACAAATAAAACTCCCAACATAGGTGTAAGGCAAGGACTTTCTGAACAGAACCCCAATTCCACAGAAATAATACCAGAATTAACAAGTTTATATCAAGTCAAACTAAAAAGCTTCTGCACCACAAAAGAAATAACAAGAAAGAGACAACCAACTGAACAGAAAATTTTTTGCCAATTACACCTTGGACAGAGGATTAATACATAAAATATATGAAGAACTAAAAATAAAAACACTTCTCTGATTAAAAGAGCCAACCAAACAAAGGACAACAGAAATAGACACTTCTCAGAAGTGCAAATGGCCAATACATACACGAAAAAACACTCACCACTGACAATTAGAGAAATTCAAATTAAAATAACACTGGTATTCCATTTTACTCCACGTCAAGTAATAACACATGCCGGCAGGGCTGCAGGGAAATAGGAATCTTTCTGCATTGCTGGCGGTAATGTAACTAGTACAACTAAGGAAATCACTATGAAGAGTCCTCAAAAAACTTAAAATACCCAGCTATTTCCCTTCTCGGTATCTTCAAGAAAGAGTCAGACGTTATGTGACGGTGATACATGCAGATCTGTGTTTATAGCAGCACATTTCACAACAGCTAAATCGTGGAAGCGACCTATGTGTTCATCAGCAAATGAATGGATAAAGAAAACATACCATTTCTACACAAGTGAGTACTACTGTGCTATAAAGGAAGATAAGTTTGAATCATTTATGGGAAAATGGGTGTCCCTTGAGATCATAATGTTAAGTGAAATAAGTGAGACACCCCGCTTCCAATAGGGCATGGCTTCTGTTACAGGAGAAACTCAGTATAAATAAGTCAAAGAGCAAGCTGAAAGAGACGAGGAAATAGGAGAAGACATCTTTGGCAAATGGGAGGAAGGTGAGATATTGGGAGGGGGACAAAGGAGGAGAAGGGGGTGTAAAAATATTAAGATGTATTATGTATTTGTTACAACTATCCAAAATTGATGAATTCACTACATACCACAAACATGTACTAATAAAAATTTTTTAAATTTACAAATACTTAATAAATTCATACAAACCTGTAATACTGCCTTTTCAGGTAATAGTGAGATGTCACAATGTGAAGCGTCATGGACAAGGTGGGCTTCAGACACACTCTGCTCAAAAGAAATACTTTCTTCACTTTCTTCAGATGTTTTCATTTTTGACTTGCTTTTCCATTTTCTTAATTGAAGTTTATGCTTTAATATCTGCAACAAAAATAATTTATAATTTCCATGGAAATGCTGTTAAGTGTCATATGAGAAGATAGATTCATGTACAATGTTTCAAGCATACTATTTTAAACAATAACAGCACCAATTAAACATTATTATCATCATTATTACAAAAAATGCTATTTTCCATAGGCACCTTTAATATTCCCTGAACCACCAAAGCTTTACAGGTTATTTCTGTTTGCTGTCATACAGCACAAGCAGCCACCTTAGAGATCTGTCCGGCCTCCTCTTTTTGTTTGTTAGGAAAGTGAGGCCCAAAAGTGGTCTTTCTGATAATAGACCTGGCATGTAGGGTATAAGCACAGACATAACCAAAAAGGAGGGGAGTTGGAAGGGAATTATTTAGGAACTTGACCAATTTGTCATGACAGGAAGTTCCCATTTTAACACTGATACACTCCTGGAAACTGCAGAAGTAAGATGCTTGCTATGGCTTGTGTCTAGACGTCCCCTCAAAGCCTAATGCAATCATAGGTGGGCTTTTTAGAGGTGGCTTGGTCTAGTGTGTGTGGTTCTGGATCAAGGATATATGATGACTAAATCAGTCTACTGACTGGTTTGGCACAGTCGTGGCTGAGGGTGTGAGTGCTATACCCACCCTAAGACACGTAACCCTCGTAAAAGATAAGCGACAGAAAGAGAGCTAGTATACTCTTGGCTGCCTGCTTGCTGTGGACTGTTTCTCCGCTGCAGTCCCCCTCTGCCACCCTGCCTTGGAGGAGGCCAGCCTTGGAGCCAGTTGACTATGGACTGAAATCTCTATAAACCGTGAGTTAAAAAATAAACCTTTCCTCCTTTAACTTTGCTTTCTCTGTCACAGACACACAATTTCAGTGCAATATATCCATGTACTGCAGCCTAAGGAAGGGCACACACTGGAGAACCAGCACACACACAGCACACAGGTGTCCCTGGACCCTGCTCCCAGAACACAGCTGCCATCCTCACTCAACCTAAGTGAATACAGAATGATGTTTGGCCAACAAACTACCTATGACCTATGTGTTGTGTTCATAGGTAGTAGATAGATAGTTACATAGGAGAAAAGATTTTCTCTGAACACCCAACTATATAACACACATATGTATTGAGGATAATATCTCTTATGTACAATACATAGCCTACCAACAGACATGTACAAAACATCATGCTCCGTGTGTGGGTTAGGTTAAGAGAACACTCCTGCTTCAGGGTTAATTAGCTCAAGAGACATGTAAAAGGGGGTTTCACCATTCAACATCTAACCAGTGATTAGGAACAGAGGACAGTGATCAAAACACTGACTTGACTACACAAAGTGGTAGAAAGAACAGAATGAGCAGCTGCGCACAGTGGTGCCTAAAATAGACTGTTTATCCGGCAGTGCTGGAAAGGTGGTTCGTGAAAAGGAAGGGCCAGAGGACAAGCTACAAGAACACCAGCTCGGTATCCACAGATCGATTATACATGACTAGGAGTAAGAACTGTGTGTTAGGCTTCTCCGTATCCTCCACAGAGTCTAGTGCTACCTAAAACATTCTGCGAGTATCAAGTCCCCTTAGACTCTCTTCCTGTCCATGTGGTACTATTAGTTTCAATATCTGGACCAATTTGGGGGTAAGGGTATGGATCCTGCCCGACGAGGGGCAACCACAAAAGAAAGGAATTTAATTTCATCCGTTTTCTCTTTCCTGATTACCCTGACTTTGTATTTCAAAGAATATTAATAGCACAATTACCAAAAAAATCCAGTACGTTTCTATGTTTGATCCTAGTAGTCACTGAATATTCTAAAACAATATACAGTAATAACATATGATAACAAGTGAATGATATTTTTAAGTTTGTAGGGGATTGCTTAGGTTTTGTGTTTCAGTTGCTATAATTCCTAGTGGATATCCTAGTTAAGATTCTAAGTTTTAGCAATAAAAAAATCATTTAATGTTGAAATAATGATTTATTAAATTGAATGTAGAAAAATAATCATATAAAATAGTTTCTCTTCCACTTTAGACATTTCTCTGCCCTTCTAAGTACTTGTTTGAACAAAATTCTTAGTGTCTACATCACTAAATTTTTTAAATGTTAAAAGATTTTCCCTTGCTATTCATAGCTCAAAGGACACAAGAGAAATTCTTAGGAAATATTTAAGTTAACTGAAGTAAAAGTTAAATTACCAAGTTATTAAAAGAACAAAGATCCCACAAAAAATATACAATCTATAGGATTTTAATATTCTCTACATATAGCATCACTGAAACAACATGACTAAGTGAATCAGATTCTTTTTAAAAATTAAGTTTAAAATGTACCAGCTCATCGTCTCTCTTTTTATGTTGTTTTCTTGCTTGTTCCTTCCATTTTCTTAGCATAAATTTTAGCTTGTGGTAACGAAGTAAGTGTTGTAAATCCAATAATGCATCTGAAGAAAATTTACTAGGTTATATACAGTTCAAGCTGCTTCTAAAATAACTAAAGTGAATTAATATTTTATTGTGCACATAACATACAACAAAGTTGTATCTAATAGTATTTGTTTCATTTCAATATATTTATGGCATCATTAAATAGTACTCATCAGATGTTATTGACTAGTAGGCATCATCTTTGCTCTTAGAAATTAAAATGCAATAGAAATATCAAGATAAGAACTGGGCATGGTGGTGCATGCCTGTAATCCCAGCACTCAGGAGGCTAAGGCAGGAGGATTTTTGGGAGTTCGATGCCAGCCTGGGCTACAAAGTGAGCTCAAAGTCAGCCTGAACTACATAGGGAGACCCTGTCTCAAAAAAAAAAAAAAAAAGAAAGAAAGAAAGAAAAAGAAAAGAAATAGCAAGATAAGGATCACTTCTTTAAAAAAAAAAAAAACTGTTCTTTGTAAAACCAGAGCTTCTAGCCAGGCATAATGGCACATTCCTATAACCCCAGCATTCAGGACACTGAGGCAGCTGTGAGGCTGCCTCAGCTGTGAGTTTGAGGCCAGCCTAGGCTCAAACTGAGCTCAAGGCTAGCCTGAACTGCATAGTGAGACCCTGTTTCTCAAAAAGACAAAAAAAAGGGGTGGGGGAGCTTCTAAACTTATTCATAAGAAATTCAGTCCAGGTAGTATTCACATCCCTTGCCTTGGAATCAATGAGGTGCCCTGTAGCTGAGCAGATCCCCTTCTGTCCAGGACAAAGGATGCCAAAGCAAGTCTTTCAAGCTGTCCTGTGGTCCCTAGGTGCAGCCAACCCATATTCTCTCAGACGTACAGGCTCAGTATTTGGGGGTTTGCTTTGCTTTGCTTTTCAATAGAAGCTGGATATTTGGACTTTATATGACTATTTCTAACGTTTAAACTTTGGCAAGAAATTTTTGAGTCTTGTTGACTATTATACAGGTAGCAAGACATACAGGGACCAGTTTTCAACAGCAGGGCTGGAACATTACAGCCTTCCTCTTGCCCGAGTCTGTGATTGCAGGGCATCGCCCAGCCGAAATTTGCTGTTTTGATCTAAAATCTAGGCTCTTCAGGAAGCCTAGAACTCCATTTGTTTTATTATTTAGCAATTCTCAAATTGGGCTGCTCTTACGAAACTGAGAAATAATAAGCACTTATCCTTGCATCTCTGCTCAGTTCAGCTAAGTCATCTACTGAACTACTACTGTTTCTTCATTGTGCTTTAAGTATTTTGGTTCAGTCAGGAATGCTGAGTGATTTTGGTTTTAAATTCCACTCCCAAGGGCCAGGGATTTAACTCAGCGGCATAAGCGCCTGCCTGGCAAGCACAAGGTTGTCAGTTAGATCCCTGGTACAAAAAAAAAAATCAGCTCCCAAACAGAGGAACTAAAAAAGTCAGAGTTATCTAATTGATTACTTCAAAGGACAATAATCTTAGAAATTTCAATGCTTTTGAATGGACATGAAAAATACTGGCTCTAAAGTCAATGATTTGTCTGATGGCATGGGCAGCTATAGTGAAGATAACAAGAGGCATTGTGGTAGTCATTGTTAATTTCCTATTATCTTGTCTTGAAGACTTGTATAGTTTACAATGTCTTGTTTTGATTGGCTTTATTCTGTTGTACTTTGGTTTTATTCTCTTTTTTTAAAAAGGTTAATGATTTGATGGATTATTACTCTGCCATAAAGAAGGATAAACTTGAGTCATTTGTAGAAAATGGATGCACCTTGAGATCATAATATTAAGGGAGATAAATCAGATACATCACTTTACATACCACATGGTTCTTATATGAGAAATCGAAGAGTAAAATAAAAGATAGATAATAGGGAATGAGGAGATCTCATGTGGAAGGGGAACAAGAGATAGAGGGAGGGACTAGGGATGCATAAAAAGGGATAAAAGTGAGAATTGAAGAAAAAATGGAAATAGAGCCTTTGCGGTGTAAGTACCGCGCACTGACTGGCTGCACCCCGGGGCTCCAGTAGAGCTCTCGCAAACGCAAAGAACAAGAGTCGAAAGATGCAGGGAAGGATGGGAGGGAAGCGGACAAAACAAGAATTCAAATATGTTATGAACATGCACAGACTCCCCATGTTAAATGTAATTATCACGTACTACAAACACGTACTAATAAAAAATGAAAAGGAAAAAAGTTAATGATTTAAGATAGTAAGTTTTTATATTCATTTTTAGTTAAATGCCTTTTGCTTGAATTGCTTTCTACCAAAATGCCCTCCATATACTTAAATGTTCAGGTTGATTTTAATTTTTATTAAGTTATAGCAGCTCCAAAATAAAAGCATCTTGTGAGAAATTATTATACTATTTTATCAGAAATTCCTATTTGCCTAGCACTTAATATGCAAGAAGGTTGTTTTTATATACTTTAAGTTACATCTACTTAAGTAATATTTTGTAGGCTTTCAAGGTCACATTAGATTGTTGCAAGAAAATTCCAAGCCAAGCCAAACCAGACTGAAAGAAGGACTCTGCACGGAAGAGATAAGAAGACAGTGTTTAATCTTTACACTGGAGAACTGTTGAAAGGCAACAGCACTGAATTTACAGAGAGCTTAGTTTATATAGAATTTAGAAGTCGTATATAGAATTTAGAAGTGGAAAATACAAAGCAAGTTATAAAATGTTACATAATTGTTACATGCATCGAGTCATATGTTGATAGGCAGCCTAGTCGTGAACAGCTTCGTTGAAACAAAGGAATTGTTTATCATAATATAAAAACCTTCTGGGAACAAATTAAGATGACTTAGATAGTTCTAAGACATTATGTCATTGTGATATTATGTGACTTGGGTTAACAACGGGAACATGAATGTTTACTGCATAAATATACTAAATACTTTAAAAATGTATGCCCCTGAGTGGTATGATAACTAGATAAGACAAAAAAGGGCAAGAGGTAGGTGGGAAAATATTGAAAAGAGACAAGTGGGTAGAATTAGGAGACTAGGAAAGAATACTGAGCCTTGCACTTGTTAGGTTCACCGTAACAGTGAGAAACAGATCGGAGGTGAACGAGACAGCAGCAAAGTGAACAAGAGGCGGGTTTACAGAGAATAAGAGAAGGTGCGGGGCTGGGAGAGGGCCAGAGGGAGGGCAAGAATACTAAAAAGAGAAACATAGACGCTGTGGAAGCCGGCAGAACAGAGGTGATGAGAGGCAAGAGGACTGTGTGGCAGATAGGGTGGGATTTCAGTCTGATGGGCTCTGGGATCCACCCAGAGGTCAGCAGAGCACTTTAGGAGTGGCAGGCTGGGTCATCACAGGGCACGGCCTTGTGTTCTAGTCCGTCCCTCAGCCCTGCTCTGGTTCTGTTCTCCTGCCGTGCTTCCTGGAACTGAGCTGCTTTGTTCCCCCAAGGCCCTTCGGCCTGCGGCCTGGCCTAACAGCCAGCTGCTCAGGGACTGAAGCTGCCAGCAAAGCAAACTTCTCCTTTGAGTTGTGGGTGTTGGGCACTGTGCCTCCATGACAGAAAGTTTACTAATATCCTCTGGTGGACATGAAAAGAATTTTGTAGGGAGGCTGTTCTAACCTACAAATTAATCTGCATTCACCACAAAGTTTGCAGTTCACTCATGACAGGAATTTTTAAAGTAGCCATCACCTATTATAACCCTGCAAAATGTGAGTTAGCCAATTAGACGGTTCCTAATTCATTACATTTTTTTTATTTAAAGAAAGACTAAACAAAAATAGAAAACATGAAGAAATAGTACATACTTTCAAAGAAAAGAAATAAACAGTAATAAATCACTAGTTGATGTATATATATTGTCCCCCCACAAATAGTTGTTCAAGATACACAAGTGGAACATATAAATGGGAATTCAACCAGGGAGACTGCAAACAGTTCTGTTCAACTATCCAACAAAAACTAAGTAATATGGCTATCAATCCTATACACTTAGCATGTATGCATTTATCCATATCTTCATTTATGTTGAGACCTAACAAAACTTATTAGATTAAAATCCTTCTGAACAAAGATTAATAATATTGCTGGATTTCACACCATAACACTCCAGAATCAGCACTGGATGCCCCTTTCTTTCCTTCAAAGTATTTGTTCATTTCATCTTGGGTCATAAGATCAGTTCACATAAACTGCTTATGCAGTTCATATAAACTGCTTTACGCAAATCTAAGTCTAAACATGTATTTCTATCCTTTCTATATTAGAGGGAGAAACAGAACAAAGCAGGATAGAACTAAATTTTTCCTGTAGACACATAAAACTAAAAAGACATATAAAACTGCTGTATAAGGAGTTCTACCATGGTCACTGTGCTATTTCTTGTTATCATCAACAGAATTGGCTATATCATCAGATAAAGTATAATTGAACACATCAGTACATAACAGGATTACTAGAAATATAACTTTTTAGATGGTGTAGAGCTACAAAAACAGGTAGTAATCAAATCAGAATGGATATCATGGTGAATCATTGTCATTTTCAGTATAGTTGTCTATACTCCTCAACTTGATACCAGCAACCTAACGGTTTTGAATAAAATCTGTCAATAATAAGCAGCAATCAAACAAGTCAGATTTAACTAAGATCACTCATGATACAACAGTATAAGTCATACAGGGATCCTGATTGAGTTAATAGGAAATTAAAGATGACCACTGTGCTGTGTCCTGATATCTTCGGGACAGCTGTCTGTACCCTCAGATCCAGTGCTTGTATACAAACTAGGACAGAACAAGTTCCAACCAAGCAGTGGTATGAGTAATTGGGGTTTTAATTCCTGATACACTATTAACTATATTTTCTGCTGTTTTTTTTTTTGAAGACTATTCCTCCCCTTTACTCCCCCAGAATGAACTGTGTATTTTTGGGTCTCCCCAACACTCACAGTTTTGTATTGTGGGGGGCAACCTGCTATTTACCTAAGTGTTTCCGAACTTTCTCACTCCTGGACTGAATTTCTAGTTATATTTCTTCATTTATTAAAGCCTGTTGGTTCGACCTGGTCTAGTTACCCCTATTACTCTCTGGTTCCCTATCACATCGAGTTCTGTTTTCTCATGTTTGATTTTGGTCCATATAACCTTCTTCAGGCTAATTATATTTCCTATAAAGAGCCTCTCAGTGGACCCTACCTCTTGATCCACTCTGCCTGCAATTCTCTCTTTTTTCCCTTAAGTTAGCGTATCTAGGCCATATTAGAAATTATATCCAACTTTCTTTGCCTCATTTCTGTTGTGCTCTTTTTCTGTCAGTAGTTGTCTGTTTGTCTTTTTCATTTTGCTTTCTGCTCCATTAATTGTGGCCGCTCTGCCACTGTTTCTGGAATTCTGGTACTTTTCTCTTTTAGAATGTCCTGCAGTATTCTCTGTAGAGTTGGGTTGGTGGTTGCTAATTCCCCGAGGTCCTCTGTATCTTGAAAGCACCTTGTTTCTTCATTAATTTCTAGGAACAGTTGTGCAGGATATATCAATTTTGGCTGGAGGTTATTGTCTTTCAAAGCTTGGATTATTTCGCCCACACTCTTCGAGATTTGATGGTTTGTGCCAAGAAGTCTGCTGTAATTCTGATGGGTGTTCCCTTGTAAGTGATCTGTTTCTTGTCTCTGACAGCTTTTAATATTCTGTTCTTATATTGGATTTCTGAAATCTTGATTATTATACGCCTGAGTATAGTTCTGTTTTGATTGTAGGTGGCTGGAATTCTGTATGCCTCATACATCTGAGCATCTTTACTTTTTCCTATGTTTGGGAAGTTTTCCTTGATTATTTCTGTGAATAGCCTTTGCAGTTCCTTTCTTTGTACCCCTGCTTCTTCACTTACATTCTTTATTCTTAAGTTATAGATCCTCTTGTCATCTTCTAGCCTTTGTATTGTTACTGCTTGTTTCCTTATTATTTTTAAGAAGTTTTTCCTTTCATGTTCCCACATTACAAACCTCTCCTCCAGTTCGGATAGTCTATCCTTAGTTTCTTTCAAGCTGTTATGCCAGCTTTCAATAGAGTTTTTAGTTTCCTGGTAATCTCTTTGAACCTGCTTCACGTATTCTATGTTTTCTCTATTTTCTCCATCAAACAATTCTCCCCCTTTTTTTTTTGTTCTTCCATTCTACCAGCTGTTTTTTCTTGGGAGGTGCTTAGCATTTCTTTAACTATTCTACTTACATCTTGCTTTGCTTGGTTAAATACTTCACTTTTGAGCTCATCTATGAGGTCCTGGAAGATATAGCTTTACATCTATTGGTGCCATGCTTGATATTGCATGTTTTCTGTCCTCATTCTCCTTTGCATTTACCTTTCTTGGATAAGTGTTCTCCAGATTGGGGACTGAGGACCCTTTCTTGTTGCCTTCTTTTCTAATATTTTTTGTTCCTTCCAGACAGGTGTATATAGGAGGCCTAGTTTCTTTCTTTGTCGGTTTCAGTTTGTCTGAAGCATACTGACTCAATTCATTACATTTACATTTACACTTAAACGTTAAAAGCATCAGCTCTCAACAGCTGGTCAAAAGGAACTGATTTGCTGATTTACCCCAAATATAAATGAGTCTGCAAAAAAACCTAAGCAAAAGACAAGAGTCTTCTATCCCAACTGCTAAACTCACACATGCACACTATTGCTCATAAAAACTAAGTCTCAAGTAAGAAAAACAAGCTTTCTCACATGCACATTAAATGAAAGATTTGTAACAAATGTAGAACTCTCTGCAGAAATAGTCAATTTTTTGGTACTACCCAGAATATAGCATTCTCTGTTACATAAAACACAGAATATCCCTAGTTACTTTTAGGTATACACATAGACAAATACACAACAGGATTTGGTTTAAAATACACCAGTCTCCATTACAGTAAAATCTTCTCACATAAATCTCATTAAGTATTTTAAATTAGTGGTTCTGCCTTCATTTCATAACAATTCTGTAAACATAGCAATTTTCTAAACATAAAACCAGGTTCATCTGAGTGTACAAAAGTAATTGTTATCATGTAAGGATTTACCTTCAAGTTTTCCCTTTGCCTTTTCTACATAAGCCTGCCATTGATGAAATGAAGATTTTTTAAGGCTGAAATGATAATGTGCTTCTGCTCTTTCAATTTTTTCAGCCAGGAGGTCTTCTTCACTTACAAGAGTTATTGCTAAGTCTTTCCATGCGCTGCAGGTAAAAATAAAACACATAAAAACATATTTTGATGTTAGAAGAATACATTAGTAAATAAACAGAGAGGATTAAAAAGTGATGCTTCCCTTATGCCCCAATTTTGTCAGAAAAATCACATTCTTACCAAAAATGGGTCTTTAACAAATTTCCAGTGTAAAAAGTGCATGCCTTTATCATCAATTCTGGAGTCATCTGAAATAAATAAACTACATTATTTATTAAATAAATAATTAAAATTAGAATTAAGTGACATACATAAGCCACCTCTGCAAGATACACGTGGAAATGAGAGATCTGGTTGCCTTGGAGAAGACTTGGGCAGTTGGGAGAAAGGAATGGATTAAAAAACTATACACTATTATATATTTAGGAATTTTGTCGTGTATACCTATCATCTATTTTTTTTAAAAAATTGAACCACCACTTAAAATTATCCCATTACATCTCCCTGACTTTAAAATTAAAATATCTTTCCAGCAAGTATTATAGAATTTTTTATTAGTGTGTAGAATTTCAGGTCTGCTGGTCATTATTAAGACTAATTTTACATGCAAGATACAACATTCTCTTTTTTTATTAATTAGGTTTATTGGTACATTTTAGGTATACATAATGATCACATTAATCATAGGGAATTTGTACTTGTACATGATACAACTTGAGTCCTTTTCTCCCATTCCCCTACTCTCCCTTGGGTATATGAAGCAGGAAAGAAATAAGAAAAGCATGTAAATTTTAAGTCTAAACTATGGGAGGGCTGGAGATGTAGTCCAGCCGTGTAGTACCTGCCTAGCAAGCATGAGACCCTGACTTTGATTCCTGGTACCCAAAAAGAGAGGGGGAGGGGGAGGATGGAGGAGGAAGAAGAGGAGGAGGAGGAGCCCCTTATACTGTGGAATAAGCTTAGAGATGCTAAACTTATCACATAGAACTATTTATAACAACATGGGAAGGAACAGCTGAGGGTTGCTGAAATCATTTGCACCTTCTCTAAAATAATGAGTGAAGACAACAGCTACACATTTATTATTTGCATGACTACTGCTAAATGTTAATAGTGTTTTCTGCACATTTTATTGCCATCTTGTTCTCCATGTAGATATACTTGGTGAAGAGATAAGTTTGGTTCAAATCTGTATCATTTGCTAGGAATTCAGAGTTCTATTTTTCTAAAGCCAATATTTTCCTCCTTTGCACACTGAGATAAAATGCTTTGTTAATAGATACAGCACATACATGTTAATCATGGGTTTATTTTATGCATAGAGAGGCCTGAAGGCACCCTGATGGTCTATGTCAGGCTCAATGTCATTTAAAAAGTCTCACTTTGATGAATATTAAATGTACGCTGTGTGTATGGTGATGAAAATCATGAAAGCCTAAAGGCATTCATTGTATACAGATTTTTAAAGGGAAAGGAATCTTATTGAAAACAGAAGTAGTACTGAGTTCTCATAGCAGAGAGGGTGGAGGAGGAAAGGGATGATGAGGCAGCTGTAAAGTATAATTTTTAGCTGTGCTATACTATAGGGCTCTAAATTTCCTAAGCCTAATTCCCTTTAGAAGATATTACCTGCGAAATTTCCGACTTACAGTGAAGCAGTATGGACATGTAATACCCAACAATCCACATCTAACATTGTGAACTCTGCCATGCTGGATTTTCCTATTCTGAAATACGGGACATTAAGATGGCCTTCGTGATATTTCAGCCTCCAAACCTTTCATCCATCTCTTTAAAAATGCACATTTTCTTCAAACCATAATTCCATCATCCCACCTAAGACAATTAACAATAATTGCTTAATATCATCTAGCTCTGACTCCTTATCCAAATCTCTAGAATTGTCCCCAAAATGTATTACACAAGTTAGTTTTTACAAAGTAAGGTCCAAACAGGAACCACACATTTGTACTACACAGTCGGTTTATGTGAGGAGTTTTCTATACTTAAAAAAAAGAAATTCTCCTTTTCTGTATTTTTCAACATTGAATGAATATTAAGAGGCCAAAGAGGGATAGTAGCAACCTAAATTTAATAGATTCAAGTTATCTGGTCCTGTCTAATAAATTTTCTAAATTCTAAAAATCAGTGGAAAATTTAAATTCGTTTTGACTAAGGCATGGGTTTTCTTCTCCCATTTGGAAGAAGGACTAGAATGCAGGACGGAAGCACATGGAATCTCTCCGCTCAAGGATCTGGCGTCCGGGCTGTAAGTGCGGGCAGAACCTAGAGAGCTACTCTGGGCGACCCTAGCTGCCGCTTGTGCAGTACAAAAGCAAGCCATCAGGTCTGTACAGTACCAACAAACTTCACGGGACGGAAGTTCGATTTTACAAATTTAAACTAGTAGGATATAAAAAATATTGTCTCAAAATTATGCCAAATTTTGAAACAATGCAAACCCCCAAATCAAAATTCTTATTGAGAAGCAATTTCTTTCAAAGCTGATGGGAAAAGGAGCTGGACATTTTACTGAAGCTCCTGCCACCTAGTGCTACTGTTCTGGCAGGTAAACAGATGTGGCCTTGGTCCCGCAGTGCAAGTTTGATTTGTTGGAGGTCTTCAGAAAAGCGCTACTGTAAAAAATGTGATCGCCCAGGATGGTTTAGTGGAGCTAGAGGTCTGAGGGATGAAGGCTACTTCAGCATCTGTGGGATCTGAAGACAGAAAGAAGCTGAGCGCCAGCTTAGCCAGACATTGGGGTTCTCAGAAACACCAGAGCAGCAATGCTAGGGCCTCCCTTCTGATGGCCTCACAGTTCAAGACAGACGCGTAATAATGACAGCAAGACCAAAAAGAAGCTAGGTTTTAAAGCAGAGTGAGCAGCGTGTGTGTGCACAGCAGTGTGGTACACGCCCTGAAGCGCTGAGGTTTTCACCATCAGTCACTTTTCTCTGCAGGTTACTGAAAGACTCATTAATATCCAATGGGCTTTTGTGCATGGAGAGAAAGACTATTATTTGTATTTTAATATTCTACTTAATAAACATATATTTAAATAAACCCAACTTTGGAGAATCAATTTTTTAAACATGCAAATATTTATCAGCTTTATTAAGCAGAGTCCCTGAAACAATCTACATAAGTACCATGTTATTCATTATGATTACTTTGTTACATTTAAACTTATCTTAAAATAACACAAATCTAGATCACATCGTTCTTACAATGGCCCCCCAAAATTCACAGAGGTTATGTTCCTAAAGCACCTGTGAATTGTGAAAAAATGCAAATTTCAGATTCTGCCAGAAAAATGCCTACAAATGTCCATTTTTATAGTTTAAACTCTGACTATGCTATGTCTCCCGAAGTTATGTAATTTAATTTAATACTGTATTAACAAAGCCTTAGGAGATGCAGGGCATTTTGGCACCTTCAGGGTCTTATGGTTTTAAGAACAAACCCAGATAGCTAGGGTACAGCAACCTGTTATGATGCGGGACTGTTGGTGCATCTGCTGGGAATGGGTTACAGAGCAGCAGCCAATCAGAGCAAGGAGAACTGACTAGCACTGTAGGATTGGCCACTTGCAAACCTCCCACCAGAAAAAGAACTATAGAGGATGTTTATAGTTCTGCAAAACTGCGGGGTTCCATGAACAATTCGTAATTAGGTTCTAAGGAAAAATCTGCAAATGACTGAGGCCATGAACTCTGAACCACAACTGGGGGTATATTGTATTATGCTTTTGCTATTTTTCTCTTCCAGATTACAGTGATGCATAATTTTGATGCCTTTTCAGGAAACCATCTAATCAGTCTCAGAAGAAAAATATCATTGGAGAGTGGCAAGGGTGAGAATCTGTTACAACCAATTGAATCATGTTAGAGGGACAGGATCCGGCCATCTCTGTCAAACAATTAACCCCAGGCCTCTGGGATCTTAAGGTTAAGTTTCCTTTTCATAAATAAAACTTGATATCTGTAAGCCTACTTAAGTCCATATCTTTCATTGAGATTTTGGGTTAAACTGTACATGGGACTATCTCCTGGACATATGGGCAAAAGCAAGATGTGGAAAGTTATCAGTCTCCTAGTCCTGTAAAAGAAATCAACACAGGAAGGCAATATGATGTTTGCTCATGTATTTCTAAAAGAAACAGTGGAAAAGCAAACAACTAAATTTGGTATCTAGAAGGAAAGATGAACTAGAAGAGGCAAGAATGGAAGCAATACTTTTCTGAGTGCTCCTGAGTTTCCTGTTTTATATGACTGAAAAACAATTTGATCCAAGAAAAAAGCAGATGGCCAATACTAAAAAGAATTGTTATAGGTAATAAAATGTATACTAAGAACATATGGTACATCTTGAGGCAAAAAGAATTGTGTAACTGTCCTAAACTGAACTTTTTACCCTGATTGCGGGTGGCTCTGTGGGACTGCTACTCCGAAGTCTTTGTATGTGCATTATAGGATACAGCTAATGAGCAATTGTGGTAAGGCTTATAGAACATTTAATGATTCCAGTGATTAATCATGGTTAATGGTTATGATCATAAGTGACTAACTTCTCTGTTAAAATCTGTAGGACTTTAAGTGATCTAAGACCTAAAGTGAGTCAACCAGATCATGTGGACCTTCTGATGTGAGGTAGTGGGCAGAATGCAGCATTCCTATGAACAGTCTTGTCACCAAAGGAGAAAGGGAACAGACCACCTCATGGAGTCAGGCTTTCCCTCTGTAAGTGGCAGGTGCCTGATACTTGTTTTACTGCTGGTGATGGCATTTGAAGGCTCAGGGAAATGCAAATGCTGAAACCTACTCCTCTTCCCTGTGAGGGTCCAGAAAATGTACGTTCATTACCACCTTAAGAAAGATTTTGAGCACCAGCATCCTTGAAGAGTTATATCCTTGCTCTTCTATGTATGCCAGGTCTTACAGTAGGGACTGCAGTCACTCAATGGGAAACTTAATTGGATTCTAGAGTGGCAGGGCCCAAGTGACAGTGCTCAACCACCAAAAACAAGGTAGGCCAACTCGCCATAACGGGCAGCAGCAGAACAGTAATACTCAGAATGCTCTGACTCACAAAGGTCAGATGGTGTTGGCTAATTAGTCACAGTGCTCCCAAAAGTGAAATAAATAGGAAGCTGCTATGGTTTGGGTCTAGATGTCCTGCCAGAGCCTCATTTGGTCATGGGGTTTTTTAGAGGTGGCTGAATCTAGAGTGTGTGATGCTGGGATTGAGG